GCCCCGGCTCCCCGCAGCCACAGGGCCCGGCCACTGTCACCATGCGGCCCCGCCCTGCGCTCACTGTGGCAGTGGGGAGACCGCCGCGGCGTGGCCAGCCCTCTGTCCTTTCTCCATCTCCCCCTCGGAGCCACGTGTAGCCTGGGCCCTTTCCCGGGGGACAGCCAGTGGGTTGTGCCTGCCTCTCACCCCAGGCCTCTCCCCAACAAGGTCCTGTCCACGGCTCAGGGCCGGTTGAACCGCAGCACCCTAGACCCCAACACGGCCCCAGGGCACCTACAGGGCCAGGCAGTGAGGCTGGTGGACAGCCCGCCACAGGGACTCCCGTTCCATAGGGGAGCCTGGCGGGGGTACAGGGCAGCCGGGGACACAGCGCCGAGGAGGGCGGCTGGGGCAGGGTGCACCCCTGCGCACTGTTGGCCCCTCCTCATGCGGGGTCCCCCGAGGCTCACCGTTCATCTCTGCGCTGGCTGGCCGCGAGGGCTGCAGCCTGAAGCCACCTGGAAGAAAGACAGCCGGTCAGGGAGGCCTCAGCCACTGGGCAGCCCAAGCCCGACAGCAGGCCTGGGCACGGTGCCGACCACCAGGCGCCCGCCATGACCGGAGCCCAGCAATGCCCGGCGATCTGGGCTGAGGTCCAGCAACTGCCACAGACCCAGATGTGCAGCTGTGGGGTCACGTGACCGTCCCTGGGCTGGAGCAGGCCAAGCCGGGGCGTCCCTGGGACCCCAGCACCTCACACCCCACTGCAGGTCTCCTGGCCCTGACTGCCAGGCCTGCCCTCGCAGGGCCCAGCACCTGTGTAACGCAGCAGGCATGCCAGCCCCGGGCCCTCTCTGACCCAGCCCCGCTGTGCAGGGGTCAGACACTGAGCCAGACTGGCCCAGTGCCCTGGGTCTGGCTGGTGGGCTGTCAACTGGCACGGCACCGACGGGAGTCGCAGGGAGGAGTGAGAGGCGGGCGGCCCCGCCCGGGGGCCCCTGCCGAGGCGGGGACCTGCCTGCTCCCTCAGTCCAGCCTAGACGGTCCCTGTGACCCCAAGGCCCAGGTTCGTGCTGGCAAGGCCTGGCCAGGGTCTCCAGGGGACAGGGCAGCACAGGCTGCAGCCCAGGCCCTCTGCTGGCTGTGTCGGGGACCAGCCATCAGCCCGGGGGTGTGTCCCCTGCCCGGACTCCCCAGGGGTAATGGACCTGCAGGCCCCGAGCCAGCCCCTGCGTGCTGCAAGACCCACTGGGCCTGGGCCTGGGCCCCTCTCACTGCCCAAGGCAGGGAACGGGGAGGCCTGCAGGAGTCGCAGTGGCCGAGCCCACACGGCTGGCTCACCCCACACCCCCAGGTTCCAGGCAGGGAGGCCAGCCGGAGGGCCTCCCACCACGCTGCCCTCTACGACGCCTGGGCCCGCCCCAGGGCCAGAGCACCCCCTGCCTCACTGACGACACCAACGCGGTTTGGGCTGTTTATTTGTGCACACGCACGAGGGCTGCTTTCCGACACCTGGGACCAGGAGACACGACCGCAGTGGACGTCAGGGACCGCAGCGCGGCATGTGGCTCGGGGAGCGTGTCCGGGAAACCTGCCGGCCCTGAGCAGACCCTCGGCCCCTTGTGTGGGCAGGGCCTAGGTGTCGGGGTCCAGCCGGCGGCACGGGCCCTCCAGCACGCCGCGGAACACCTGGAAGCGGTGGTTGAGGTCGGGCCGGGCGTGCAAGCGAAGCAGCGAGCCCAGGGCACCATCGGGCGATGGGGCGCCGTAGAAGACACGCTGGATGCGGGCGTGCACGAGGGCCATGGCGCACATGGTGCAGGGCTCGCGGGTGACGTAGAGGTCGTAGCCGGTGCACACGTAGGGGAGCCCGTCCCCGTCCTCGTCCCGTCTGCGCACAGCACCTGCGCGCAGGGCTGGGGGGGCGGCGGCAGGGGCGAAGGAGCAGGCGGGGTGGGCGCGGAAGTCGTAGGTGCCCCGGCCCTGGCCCTGCGCCACCAGGTCCACGCACACCATGACGGCGTGCAGCAGGGGGCTGCCCACACCGCTGCAGTCGTGGGCTGTGGCCAGCACGCGGTCCGAGGCAGGGTCTACCACCACGGCCCCCACGGCCCGCAGACCCCGCTGGGCCGCCCGCTGGGCCGCCCACACAGCGCGCTCCATGTGGCCCTGCATCACGGCGCGCTCCTGTGGTGAGAAGAGCTTCCCGGCCAGTGCACGGGCCACCTGCTTGTCCTCGTGGAAGGACGTGGGCCAGTGGGCCCGGGCCTCCTCAAACTGGCC